CTTTGAGTGCCTAGAAAAGCACTATATAAATGTAATGAATTATTATTATTATTATTATCCAAGTGAAATGGTTTCTTGAATGAGAAGAAAATGTTCACTGGGACTTGATTTTGTCCATCGGGAGTTTATTGGTTTGTTTTCTTTTGCTAATTTCTGTGATCATGTGAGTGACCGGTTGTTGGAAGGGATGGATTATGGGCTGATGGGGACACCAGCATACCGTGCTGAGGACCAGCATCCTAAATGCACCATCTGCTGAGGACCAGCTGCAAGGCTATCCTCTTTTTTTTTGCCGGTTTTTGAGCATTTTAGATGTTGCTCCCCAGTTTGTATTTTCCCACAAACATTTTTGGTAAATAAACCAGTCCCTAATGATATAGTGGTGGTTTTCACTGCTTATCTAGTTCTGGACTGACTGTAGATGCAGATGGTTTCTAAGCTCTGTTTACTGATATCACAGCTCACTCTGAATAATGCATAAGGATTCTGCAGGAGTCAGGCTTGAATTTGCATCACTGCTGCCTCAGGGAAACCCGGCTTGTGAGAGTTTATTAGGAAGGTGGCAGATTCTCCCTGGGGAATTTGGAGAACGATGCTTCCCAATCCTCAGCGCATTTGTGCAATCATTGGTACCGGGGACAAAACACCTTCGAGTACAAAGCATAAGGGAATTCGTTCACCCAAAATATGAATGTCATTCTAAACCCATATGACTTTGTGGAACATGAAAGGTGAAAATTTAATGACTGTTTTCCATATTCTTTGCCATACAATTACAATAAATGGTGACTGAAGCTTCCAAGCTACAAAAGAACCATGAATTGGTCCAGTCATACAGGTTAGAAATGAAGACCGAATTTTAATTTTTGGATGAACTATGCCTTTTAAAGGCCATTTTGGCTTCTGATATTGTTCTACCATGTTGGTCACTGCTGACATTGAGGATGATGTAATTGACAAATGTAAACCCACCCCTGCAGCTTTGGCACTATTTTCAGCTCCACAGTACTTCTTGTCTAAAACAACTTGGTTTTCATTATGACCCTCACATCCTGATGACCTTGCTGTGTGGGTCTCGGAGCGCAGGTGAAACATTTGGGTGTCCAATTACGTACATGTGGGTCGTCGATAAAAAGGGTCGGGATGTGATAATGGTGCATGCGAGCCATCTAATCCATTTAGACACTAATGGAATTCATGTTTATAGGCATCCTGTGTGAAGGAGATGGATGAGAGTGTTCACTTTACTGTCTCAAGTGTGGATTTACTAATAGTTCTGTTGGGACTACATAAATTTGGCTTAATCTTTGTACAAAGTATAAAACAGAACTGCTAAAAGGAAAACCACATTCTTAGTTGTAACAGTAAGCACACACTAAGACACACACACACACAGCACATCAGCGACCATAAGTAAAAGAACAGGACATGGCTTTCTCTGCAGGGCTCGCAAAATCGCTAGCCCGACGTCCCGGGGTATTGTGTTTTCCAGTCGGGCTACCAAAATGTATCACTGGCCTGCCCGACGGGCTACCTTGAACAGTGATATAAAAATCCTTCCTTGATTCGCGTTGTTCACTCGCTTGTAGGGGTGAAACGGATCATAGTTTATCATTTACACGTGTTTCTAAGTCTTACAAATTTAAACATTCAAGCGTTTTAAACCATGCGCATGAAGAATTCAGTTCGGTGCTCGCGCGCACACGCTCAGAGCATGCACATACAGAGTGGCGTTTCAAGGAGAGCATGAACACAGATTCCTCTTTCTGTCAGGGAATAGGCTGAATTCAGGTGCGGGTTCAACAGAGGCTTTATTGTACAGAGATATATCACCACGGGCAATGAGCGCCTCTGCGGACAGTTCGTGTGAGCGTGGAATCCCCCACCACACAGATGGGTGGATAGTGGCGACTGGAACCCGCCGCAACAGCGGCAGTGGAGACAAAGCCGGTGGGGCAGCTCGCTAATCCGAGCAAGAGGCTGAGCAGCCCAACAACGAGGCCGCAGAGTCCCAGGGAAGGCGGATGCCGGAGGGAGCCCACGGGTTTCTGAACGCACAGAGAGGTGCGGGAAAATAAACTGGAATCTACGAGCACTGGAGCCTGAACGAGACAAGACAGGACTGGTGAGCGATACCAACAATGACAGTCAGAGCAAGGGAATAAATCTCAACGATCTGACAAAAGACAGAGAAACACGAGGAGCTATAAGGGGAAGCTAATGAGATGATAAGAACCTGGTGTGAAACAAGAGGCGAGCAGAGAAACAAAGGAGGGCGGGGAAACAATCATGGTGACAAATGCGCACGTGGCGAGCTGTCAAAACAAGCCACGCACAACAACACACAACCCCCAACCGCAGAGACAGCAAGGAACAGGTGATCAGACCCGAGACCCGACACTTTCACTTGAACGGACACATACACGCAAAATTATCTGAAAATAACTATCTCGGTTACATTCATGTCTTAAATGAACGTAAACAGTGGAGAAAGAAATCGCACATGCATCATTATATTGGTTCCGTGCATTCGGTCTTGGGGCAGCAGCCTATAAATATACCTGCTGTTTAAGCGCCACCTGCTGTTAGAGAGTGACATTTGCGTCTCATTCAGCCCGTCTGCTGTTTTTGTTTCGTTCAGATTTTTTATGTAGTATCACAAAGCTAAAGTCAGACCATTTTGTTTTTGTGTCAAATTTCAAAATGTTACAATCTAAATAACATGTATGCAGCATCTATGTTTGGATCGTGATTAAAATACACAGGCAAAACCTTAGTTTACTTGCATGGAGACATTTCTTTTATTTGTATTATTCATTTATTTGATTTGGGATTTGTTTTAAAATTTCAAGTTAGTATATTGTTTGACATTTTAAATTTCACAAAGTAATGTGCAGCCTTTTGGTCTGAGAAATAACAAAATTACACCTTTTTTAAAATCTGTCTTAAATCTCATTTTGTTAAAAAAAAATTGTGAGAAAATTGTATTGTGAAATCAGTATCATGAATCATATCACATCGTGAGTTGAGTGAATTGTTACATCCCTATATGCTACAAGTTTTTTGCTGTGGTATCGAAGTAGTAAACTGTTCTTTAAATAATAAGTGTTACTTAAATAGGCCTATTAAAGAACCATTTTTTTTTGCTCATCTGAAAAATGATCCGATCTGTGACTCAAAATGTGATATGATAATGTATTATAATCCGAACAGTAAGATTTGTGATCCGTTGCACCCCTACTCTCTTGACTTGTTGTTTGAAGAAAAAATACAATATCTTTTATTCGGGCTAGTTAAATTCATTTTTGGCTACCAAAATCTGAAGAATGACTGCCAGAAGGGCTACCAGGGATTTTGAAATTTTGCGAGCCCTGCTCTGGGCGTGCTTTAAGAGAAAAGGAAATCTCAGTGCCATCAATCCATCATTTAATACCTTCATATAATATCTCATCCTGCTCTCTTTACTGGATGAAAGGTTCTGGTACGTTCTATGTCTGGCAGAGAGACTTGGATTGGCTTTCTGTCAGTCAGTTATTGGTTTTACCTATAATGGAGACCATGTCCACATTTGCAGTTATGTTATTACTAAATGTTAAGAAGCTGTATACCAGAAGCTATTTTTGAGGAAGAAAGGTCTCTTACCACTTCCTGCTCTTTCCTGTAATCTTATTGCCCTTTGTGTGCTTCATTCACCATGGCAGATATTCACTTTGTACCATGGGAATGTTTAAACATTGGTAAGAGTCTGAAATTAACTTTTAATTATAATTTATAGTTTTTTTTACCACATAAAATAACTTGTTTTACATAAAGGATACACATTTTAACAAATAAAAATCAAACTGAGCAGAACAGAAGAATTACTGAATGCTTAGACTGAATGCTCACTGCTCACATTGGGTTTATTTATCAGCTGATTTGTGGTCTAACATTTGCTTACCCATCTTGTCTCTCTTTAAACAGTTGTCATTAGTCTTTGGTCAAATGATACTACGCATCTGGCTGTTCTTCTTTTTAGCAGAAGTTTTAACACCCCAATTTGCAATTCGCAAATTGTCTGTATGGTATTTGAATGCCATTTTTGTGTCTTGCTTTGTCGTTAGCTGTAATAATTAATTTTTTAGTTTACATCTAAAGTCCTATAGAGTGGGGGAACTATGACGTCAGAACCCGGAAGTGTAATTCGCAGTGGGTTCCTTCGATCCTGTGGGGTTTTTCAATTAATGAGTAAAATAAAGCTTGTGGTAAACATAACTTGACGATACTTTTATGTTTTGTTCTACAATGTAAACTGCACACACTCACAGCCCAAACATTCTTATCTAGTTACTTATTAAAAACATACGTTTTAAAAAATGAACATAACTCCTTCAAAATCCTTCAAAAAAAAGAGTGTAGAACAAAATGTAAAAGTATCATCAAGTTATGTTTACCACAAGCTTTATTTTACTCATTAATTGAAAATCTCGAAGGAACCCGCGGCGAATTACACTTCCGGATTCTGACGTCATAGTTCCCCCACTCTATTTATATCAGAATAATGGACTCTTCTTGTTATTGTGTTTTTTGCTCTTGCCAGGTCATTATTTTAATCTCAGCTACCAAAGTTAGCCAACTAACATCATAATTTTATTGGTTAAATAAAGCTTACTAACCAACGGACAAACCAACCACCTAACTTATAACTCTATGTAAGTCACTGGAACAAGTTGTCCTGCCTGAGCCAGATCACCTTTTTAAATCTCAACTAACTAAATAACTAACATCTAACATTTTAGTTTTATCATAGTTTAATAAATGTTACTAACCAACCAATCAACTAACAAACAAACAAACAACTACATATGTCTGTGCATATGTACATTACTCTGATAATGCTACTAATAATATTAATTTAATGCGAGGGAAGAAACATCTTGTGGCTAAAAGGCAATGCAGCACTTATTTGCCACATTGCCACGTTAAATCTGTGATAACTGTTTTCTGTTTTAACTCTACAGACTGAAATCATCTCAAAATGGACCATCAGGACCACATGAATTCTGGACAGGTGGGTGACTCTCAGCACTCTCCTGGGAACAACATAGCATCTGGTGTAGGCAACATGACCATCGATGACAGCCATCAACAAGACATGAAGAATAGGAGAGCAGCACATATGGGAACGGGTGATGGGCCAGTGAAAGGTCTGTATAAAGAGGAAATAAAATGTAGGTACTGTAATAAAAAGGGGAAAAAAATTGTAAGGCTGAAAACCCCCTTTTCCCCACAAAGCGCAGAAGAGCTGAGTGATACTCATGGCAGTGTGTTTTTTTGCTTATGTCTCGTCTCATACTGAGAAACCTGACACATATGCTGAAAGTGACACCACTCAGCCATGTGTTGGTTTCAAATGTCTGTGAAGATATTCATTCATTCAGGTCAATGGCAAAATGTCTTGTTGAATATATTTGTTGGGCCTTATTTTCCATGTGTTGAAGGACAATGGAGATGACAATCACAATTTTCACCTTCAGAGAGATGGTTTACACAGTGATTGTGAGTCTTATGACAATGTGGTACACAAACCCTTACATTTTAAGGCATCCCCGCCAAAGGGTTCCCACTGTCAATGGAAAACCTGGGAAACGAAAGGAAAAAATTACACGATTTCCAGGTCTGGGAAAGTCAGAGAAATGAATAAACCGCATGGAACAATTGTGGAAATATCTATGTAGAAAATATATTTTCCTAGCTATGCAAGAATTTGCTTTGTAAATATATTTGCTATAACAAAAAATCCTTATCCTAAGGATTTTGGACAAAAGAGATGTCTTCAACTGTCGGAAAATGATGTTCAGTTAAGAATAGCTTTTATAAGACATTTTGTCTTGCCTGCATTGTGTGTTCATAATAGTTATTTTCAATTTAAATTTGGTCATATAACATTGATTGTAGATTTGTTTTTTGGTTTCTGATGATATATGCTTGGATGAGACTCAGATGTGAGGAAATAGGTCATAGTTTACAAAAAAAGGGTAATCTGTCTTACCCACTTTGGATTGTTCTGGCACAACTGACAAGCTTTCAGCAAGCCCCAGGCTCCCTCACAGAGCACAGACGAAACCTTCTTATCAACCAGCAACCTGAAATTCCAGCTCAATTGTGCTGGCAGAAGTCATCAGTGCAGAATGACTCTAAAATGACAAATTCTGTAAAAATAAAGTTAAAGGGGTCATATGATGTTGCTAAAAATAACATTACAACAGTGAAAAGGGACCCCTTTCAAACAGTGTCGCGTTCCGAACGTTGTTTAAGCAACATACCGGTATTGCGGTATTTAAAAAATTCATATCATAACAAAAATAAACACCGGTATTCAGTATGAACCGCTATACCGCCCAGCACTACAGTCCTCCACAAAATGCGCTGCACACATCTGAATATTTGGGTTGAACTGTTCTGGAGCAGTGTTGTAAATACAACTTAACCACTGATTTCTAGTCGTGTCCTCTTTTGGAAGGCCAAACAAAGTATTATCGCTTTCGCAACGAAACACACAGCGTCTTCACAACATGGCGGCGGCGTTGGCAGCAGCAATAAAGTTACACCTTCTTTCTTTGCGTGAACATTTGGGCAGTGTTATGCAAATCTTCCCACATCATGATGTAGACATGTGGGGGGGTGTTTGAACGAGGCGTTTTAGGAGGGCGTGGACCAGTCTTAACTTTTATAAAGAATATCTCTTTGGGTTTGAGACTTTAGTCTTTGCAACTTTAGTGATCTTATCTATTCACGAACAGCTTGTAACACTCCAAAGAGAAAGGAGAACTTGAAATCGCATCATATGACCCCTTTAAAAACAGCATGATGCTGACTTTTAGAGTTAGTTTACCCATTAAGAATAGCTTTTGTCTCAAGAACATACTAACAGATGCATCGAGGTCCTGTTGTACTTCATCCTTTGTTTAGAAGACAGCTAGAAGACTATAAGGAAATATAAATATAATTTTCGCTTTGTTTGCTATCTAAACCACCTCAGTCCTCTGCTGTCCAAACTAAAAGTTCACCGTTCTCTCATAGAGGACACACTTGAACCAATGACTGAAGTGACCATCCCAAAGCCTGTTTTTGAAGACTCCGAACCCAAGCCCTCCTTTGATAAAGATGTGCCATTGGGTATGACCCTCCACACTAAACTACAGCTGTGCCGCTCTACTTCCCTGTACTGTCCTGTCTGTTGCTCAGCTTCATAGGGCCCGTTCCCTTGATCCCATTACTCCCTATTACGCTACAGCTTTGATTAATTTCCCAAGAATGCAATGCAACTACATAGTATGAATCAAATTCAATTTTCTGCATAATTATGAGTGAAATGATTCATTAAAGAACTGGCACTTGAATGTTTTTTGCAATGAAAGCCAGTCTCTCATATTTCTCATGGACAAATGAGAGTGCTAGATACTTAGCCATTTCTCGTCCACACATGCTGCTTTTATCCTGTTACTATGCTTTGATTTCCAACGGACGGCTCTTCCAGGTGGTTTTGCAGTTTTAATTTTAATGCCTATTAACATAAACATTTTTTCACTTATAATTTTCCCAAGTCCCGGCTATATGGTTCTCACGGTCATGGAAAATATGGAAAAATCTGAGAATTTGAAAGTGGCTTGGAAAAGTAATACAACTTTAAATGTCATAGAAATTATATAACAAATTTATAGTGACAATAAATTTCCCTGATTATGCTATTTATGGAGAAAGCCAAATCCTCCACTGAGCCACGTTCAAACCTCTTGTGTTTTTACAAACCGACTAATGTACAAATAGAAATCATTGACGAAATCTCTATAGAATTATAAAAAAAAAAACATGTAATAATTAACAATAGGAAAAGTCATGGTATAAACAGTGGGAACCTTAACACTAACATAAGAATTTATGCTTATAACAAGTTTCCAAAAATAAATGCTTATTACATTGTTAACAGCAGGGCTCTACGCTTATTTTTCTTTTTAGGAGCGCTTGTGCTCCTAACTTAAAAAATTTAGGAGCACAGTCAAAAATGTAGGAGCACCAAAATTTGATAAAAAAAATAGCCTTCCCATTACGAGGTGATATTTGACTCCTTAAAGTGATTTACAGTAGAATTTTGTTTTTACCTTTGTAATGGCATTTTTCTATCTTTATTAAAAGTATGTCATCTTTTATGTGAAATTTAACAAAAAAAATTATTTTATAAGCGTTTTAAAAATTCTAGATAAAACCATAGAATAAGAACAAGTAGAATAAGAAGAATAAGTTACTAATCAAATGAAATCAGTATTAAAATTAATTTGTACAGCGGTAGCACAGACGAGCACAAAAGTGTCTTGTAGGTGTATTTTCAGACATTTCACATTTATAATCAACGAAGCTCTCTACACTGCACAATGAATCTCTTATTTACACCCTGTCTACACTTTGCTTATGAAAGGATTCATGAGATATGTCTGTGATACATTACTCAACGCTGCAAAAACACGTAGAAACATTTGAAGCTCCCCTCAGCGATCACAATCACAAGTATGATGATGATCTGGTCAGTCGCACTGGTGCTCCTAAATATGTTTTCATAGTCGCACGCAGTAGTTTTCAGTCGCAAATGCGACTGAAATGGTCGCACTGTAGAGCCCTGAACAGTGAAAATTACATTGACTTTTTTGGACCAGCAATAAGCCTGGAAGCTCTCAGGAGTGACCTTGCCATGTTCTTTGAAGCTTTTTGGTAACTTGAGTTGAGTTGTTTTTCGCTGATGCTGTGATATGCTGATGTAAAGCAGCACTGAAAAAATTCACTGAAAGCTAATTGCATGCCTTCAAGGTTGCAAAATGCAGTAGCAAAAGGAAGTAGTGTTCCTGAGCAACATAACTATCTCTTTAAATGATTCAAGGACAGTAAAAGCCCAGAATACTTGTCATAGAGCAATTAGGCAGGTCTACTCTACCCTTCCTTTTGCATAAGAGAATAATGTAAGTTCTAGGCAGGGTGAGTACTAGACTAAATAGTAGTGCCCAGAGCATCCATTTGGTATTTTACATGGTGAATAAGTAAGTGAGTAAATGAAATAAGCACTAGAATTGCTAATGGCTTAGATAGATGTACCTGTCTGGTGCCATGACCCGGACATATAGGCTGTAATAATAATAAAGGAATTATTTGAAGAATTATTGCTATTATTAAATCAAAAGAGTTAATAACAGCTATAATTATTATTATTATTATTATTATAGAATATTGCAGTGTTCATATATTTCTGTTCGAAACGCTTCATTGTCAAATGCCAAAACTTGTAACAGCCAAAAATATTTACACTACAGAAGCCTTCACATGTTCTTCACACATCTGAGTTTATTTGGAGCAATCACATAACAATACTTCTCACAAAAGAGAGATATAATAATGCACATTTAATGGAATTCTGTAGTCGTTTAATTTATTTTAATTGCACTATTTGAATTTAAATTATAATTTATAGTATACAGTAATTGCACAAATGAATATATTTGCACACAATATAATAATAATAATATAAATAATCACACACACACACACAAAACACAATAAGACCACCTTCTGCCATTACATAGGACGTACAGTATAATTACCTCACAAAAGTTCAAGGTCTGAGCGAATGGATTTCAAGACAAGCTTCATTTATCATTTACTTCCCAGAACCATAAACTCATTGATCTTGTCAGAGAATTAGCAGTCTAGTTGAGACAAAGGCATTAAGATGGCGTTACACATGTTGTATGCTGTGGTTATATGAAGTTGGGAGCGATGTAAATGTATTAGACTACCATTAGCCATCAGCTGAATATTTCATGTTAAAGAACATGTTGCTGATGTTTGCAGTACAGCTGAAATGGGTCTGCAACTTTAATGGGTACTAAGTTCACTTTACATAGCTCCTTGCTTGTTATGAACTGCCAGAGAGATCAAATGTCTATAAAGTCATTCATAATGTAGACTTTCTCCATTCATTTCATATGATAAACCCATTTTACTTTAAAGCTATAGAGGAAGGGTTAACTTAAAAAAAAAACATTTTTCTTTGCTTCCTGTGATTTATAGGTTGATAAGCAGTGTGCTTGTCTGACACCCATCGAGGACATAAAATCAGCATCTTTACAAGGCATTTTATTAGCAAAATTACTTGTAAAAAGATCAGTTCACCAACCAAACTGGGCAAAAGAATCCCAAAGCTGCTGTTAATGTTCTCCGTATCTCATCTGTTCTTTTGACTTGCTTCCATGTGATCACACAACTTTGACTGGTCTGGAGGGACAGCAGGAGCTGGAGAAAGTATGGTGGGCTCACCACCCCCTTGTCCCCCTGCAATGTAAAAGTTCAGAGGATTTACATCTAAACAAACATGGGCTCATATACCACCACAATTTAATTTCATTGCTTGCGCATACATGCAAAAATCAAATAAGAGATCTTAATGGGAACCACTTCTATATTCTTTCTAATTAAATCTGTTTATATTGGCTCTATCTTGCACCACTTTATCTAAGAAATGAAAAGTCTTGAGAATAACAAGGCTTTCAATTAAAACTATAATTGAATGCATTAAAAGTCCTTCAAATCCATTCACAGCACAATGTGAAACATATGATTTACTGCTCAGATCAGATCCAGAAGGTTCTATCCGTGCATTAAATGATACTTGCTAATGGACAATGCACCAATTCATTGCTTCACTGGTCATTTTGCTTTACACACTGAAGCTCACAGAGATGTTGTGGGTCATTGTGGATATTGTCTGATTGGCCAGTTGATACTGTTATTTATGGTTTTGATTGTTTTTTTGTGATTGAATGAGTGAAGAGGCACTTTTATAAGCATTGATCCCATAACCCCTTGACCCTACTGTACTGACCCTCTCCTTTTGCCACTGTAGTTACCAATTTTTTTTAAGTACAAACCATGTTGTAATGTACTGCTTGCTAATTTAGATTACCAAGCATCAATTTTGTAAAAGTGCCTTTAACTCAAAGTATAGTGTGTAAAAACAGATTTTTGGACTGTTTAACTTGACATGAAAACAGAAACTTATGTTTTGTGTTGTGGTTGAGCCCCTTATGTGGTTCTGTGCTTTTAGTTCCTTTCAGTTCCTTGATTCCTTTTCTTTTTCTGCTTCTAATGTTAACTGTGGAGAGAGGGTGGTTGAGTGTTGCTAATTCTGCAGTGTTGTCTGTGGCTGTTCCCATTATTCTGCCTTCCACGTCATCAGAAGAGTTAACACCCGGAAGCCCGCCCGAGAGTGGCCGGAGCAGTGCGGCATCAGTGGATGGGGAAGGAGAACGAGAGAATGGGGTAAAGGAGAGCTCTGTCAGCCCAAGAGAGTCTCCAATGTCTCCATATCCACTACCGACCACTCTTGCTGATGATTTGGATTCAGGCATCACGGGTTTTGACAGCCAGGTGAAGAGGAGTCCCTCAGAAAAGATGACTGACCATCATAGTGCCAGTGGATCTGAGGAGGAGAAAGAAGAAAATGAAATGGAGAAGTCTGAGAGAAGATTTTCTCCTGGTGTGGAAGAAGCTCCCAAAAGTGCTATCAACATAAAAGAGGATGAAGAAGAGGACAAAGTAGTAAGTGATGAAGAAGAGGAAGAAACTGGAGTTTCCTTGGTGCCCAGTTCTGTCACCCCAGACTTGTCAACCCAGAAAGACGACAACATTCATGACGAACATGAAACCCCTACTCATCTTCGCATGACCCCAGAGGAAGCTAAAAAACGTGGCCTATCGTTTGACTACACAGAACCTCAGGATCCCGGTCATCAGGGTGGTCCTGTGGGCTGGGAATGCAGCTCTGACAAAACACCACAAGAAAGCAAGAGCCCCGACCCCTGCAGGGCGGATCCGGGATCACCTCTTCCTCCCAGTGCTGCTGCCGACCGTACCCAAGAGGAATCATCTCTAACAGACTTCCAAACTGATGCTCGGGAGGAAGAAGAGGAAGTAGAGGTACCAGAACCTGAACAAGAAGAGGAGGCGACCACCGTTCCTCTGTCTTCCCAAGAAGTTGCTGCACCCAAGATGGAGCCTAAGGCAGAGGAACATAGAGAACCTGAAGAAGCAAAAGAGATCAAGCAGGAGAAATATTTGGAGACGAGCGATGATGATCACATTGATACGGAGAAGGTCCAGTCTGTTGCCACACCTGAGCCTGTTGCCACTCCTGAGCCTGTTGCCACTCCTGAACCTGTTGCCAAAACCGAACCTGTTGCCGCCAAAGCTAAGGATGCCGTTAAGCCCAGCGCCCAAGTAATACCCACAAAAGCACAAAGCAAAGCAGCTCCTGTCAAAGAATCTCCAGCCAAAAAAACAAAGAAACTCGTCGCTTCAGTTGCTGCCACTCCTTCCCCTAAATCTGCTCCCAAACTTCAGAAAACTCCCTCTAAAGATGCTGCTCCGGCCAGAAAAGCAAGTGTCCCATCCAAAGGTCTGTTTTTCCATTCTGTTCCTCCAAACCCCTCACAGATCTTTATTTCTCCTTCCCTTTTCTTCTTTTTAAAATAGATCAGTAGAACTACGCAGTACCCTTTCTGAAAAGCGCACACTACGATAAGAGTGTTCGGTTGAAGAAACGGGCTGCTTGTAGCCACAAAATCTCTCTCTCTCTTGATCCTTTGTGCACTGTGTGTCTGTCTCTTCTACTTCCCTCTCTGTGTGTGGTCAGTGTTATTTCGCTTGTGTCTGTGACTAACTCTGTGCATTGATTGACTGTTACCGCTGGCACAGTTTTCACCTGCCCCTCTCTGTTGCATGTCACCTGTGCATGTATATTGAATGTATCACTCACAGAACTGTGCTTTACCTTTATGGGTCCACCCCTTTCCCAGATGTCTATTTTATTAAACACAACCAAGTGGACCCAAAGGCCCATGTTAATGGGGTTTTGACTATAACACATGCTGAAAGGAGAAGGTCAGCAATTGCTGCTGGGTTCAAGACAAAAGCCCTCTAAATGTCTCCCACAGCTGTGCAGACATCTTCTACAAAAAGATAAGACAAGCTCACTCAGTAATGTGAAATTCATTTGTGCAAACGATCTCAAGGCAATCTTTTGGCGCTCAGCAATCTAGCAAAATAAGTTTGGTGCTTGCAAGGCAACTTGCTGAATCATTCTGCTCATCTTCTCCACACTTCTTTTTACTTTGTAGGCTTGGAAATAAACTCAACAAACAAATAAAAAAAATTAAATGTACGTAAAAGATTAATAAGCATATCAAATAAATGAATTTTAATTAACCAATTTGCCATTGGTTTCATCTTCCACTGAATTCTCCATTCAAAACTGTGACTGTGATGATGCCATTGTAATATTTATATTCTGAATTGCAGTTGGTCATTTGTTCTGCATAAATTTGCAACTGGTCTTTTCTTATCTTTGTATATTTAATCATCTAGAGCAACTGAAGGTGTCAAGTTATGTGTTGATTCTTGTTGTGCAAAACCAAAATAAAATAAGATGCATCTTCAGTGTCATGACAGCAGCAATGACAGCTCTGATGGTGCATTTTATTTACACAGATCGAAAGCTTCTTTTGCTGCCTTGCAAGCACTGCTGTTTACTTCGGGAAAAGAAAATCTACTGTTTTTTTTTTCCCTGTACATGGTTAAAACATTATTAATTATTTGCATTTTGTAATAATAAACAAGGTCGAGCACAAATCGAATGATGCCAAAAAAGGTCCTTGTAAAAGAACAGCTTGCCCAAAGTTTACATTTTGTCATCATTTACTAACCCTCTTGTTACACTAAACCCGAATGACTGGGTTCAAGGAAATCCCCACATCTCCATTGGACTGTTTACCATGGCAACCAGATCATTATGTTAGCTGAAATTGAGAACCAGACCAGTTCACCAGTTCGTTTGTTGTGTGAACTGGATTCATTAGGTCATTTAAAATATGAATCAGAGATCACTCCTAAGAGAATTCCTTCATGAACTCTCATAATGAATCCACCAAGAAGAGCTAGGACAGATTTTCAGTAATTTCGGTCTGTTTCTCATATAAAACTAAAGAATGACTTCATAAGATTTCGAATAAACTTCCCTGTTTCATGGAAAAAATAAACTCATGCAGGTTTGGAAGAAAGAAACTCAAACAACATGAGGGTGAGTAAATTATGACAGAATTTCCATTTTGTAATAAGTGTTTGTTTCTTAATGCCTATCATAAACAAACATACAAAAATGAAAGGCTGGAATCGCTGCTTCTGGGAACAGGACTTACAAAATCAGAGATGATAAGTCACATTGAGCACTGATGTAAAACATATCAACATAAACTTTTCTTTGAATCAAGTAGACTGACATCTAGATAAGTTTTAAGTCTTGATTCAGGCCACCAAAATGTGAATATATGAGCTTACATTTACTGCTCCTTCTTTTCTTACAGCCAAGGCTGGAGCAGGGGCAACTCCTGACAAAAAGGTACAGCCGTTACCATGTGTAATATTATGGTTTGTGGGAAAAACAGCTATAAGTCTGTAGCCAGATTAGTTAAAATACACAACAACTGAGAGGAATCATTGATTTGTCTTTACATTCATTTACACTTAATTTAAATCATCTTCAATTTTAGTTTGAAATTTGGTATTTTTGTTTTATTTTTCCTTGCATTTTAGAATCTCTTTAATTTTTAAGTTAATTTACTGACCGCTTTTTGCCATTGCTTTACATTTTTGTCTTTATCACAATCTCAAAAATGTAAGATATCCACCACAACCCTGCATGCAAAAGCTAGACCCACTTCTGCCCCCCAAAGAGGGTCTTCAGTCTCAGGCATCCCCAGTAAAAAGCCCTCAGTCTCTTCCTCAACTCCACCATGTCGCTTTAGCAGTCCAGGCTCTGCAAACTCTGTAAAAAGGCCCAACAGTGCAAGAGCAAGAGAGTCCAGGGCCACGGTGAGTACTGTCTGCCATCCCTAACCATTGGCCAAGAGAATTTGCTGTGAAATTATTGTGAACATATTAGAACAAGTCCCCCCAAAATGGAAACCTATGAGAGGACTGAATTTACAGCACCTGAGACTTCACAACATGAACATCCTTATTACCAGAGCAGAAAGAGAAGCTAAAGATTGGATTTCTGTCATGTTTTGGGTGTACTGTTGGATTTAAATGGTTAAATTTATAGATAATTAAAAAAAAAACTCCCTCAAAAAAGCAGAAGACTTAGTATTAGCAACATTTTTGTTGTTTATATTTAGGCTGGAGATGCCAAGACGAAGACAGTGGGTGCCAAACCCCAAGGAGTTGGCACCAAAATCCCTGGTAAGTGATTTTTAGATGCATCTTTTCAAGGGTCCACATTTATCTTTGTTTAGTACCATGAAAAGGAAGGGTACTTGGTGACTCAACATTTAATTTCCCTTCCTGACAGTTTGAAAAGGAAATTGAACGTTATTATGTGAACTAAGCACTTTCAGGCAATGGAGTCCTCACAATTTACAACACATTTCCCTTTTTTAATGCATTCTCCCATGGCATAAGCCCACTCAAGCCATGACAATGACAAATGAGCAAGACATGACAAATGGAAGTGCACTGATTACAAATTCATTAGCGAGTAAAACCTGGACATATTTGTGTTTCAGTGTATTCACTGCAAGGCAAACTGCAATAGTGAGCACACCTTCCCATCATTTTACTGTGTACGATTTAACCAGTCTTCAGGAAGTACACAATATCTGCCTACTTGAAATAGGTTATAAAATCCCAAGGGAATGATTCTCTATTTATAGAGAATTTTCATGACTGATTTGTACCACTTTGATTTGTGAAATGCAGCTGCTTCATGGATGGAGCAGCGAAAGGCAGGACCAGGGTCCATTGAAAGAGGTAAAAAATAAATAAATAAAGAAATGCCTCTTTTGTGCGGTAGCCAATCGAATGCTTGCAATCGAAAAATCTGCACTGCTAAAATAATAAAAACTGCACAAAATTCCATGAAAGCTTCTACATATTCCATAAAATTTCAAAGATAGGCTGGAAGGCTTTACTTTAGGATAATTAACTAAAGAGTAAATTAGAAGAGCAAAAGAGGAAAATATATGGCCTTTTGTTTTTCATCGTCAGCTGACTCACCTAAAACCCCAGACCGTAGTGGTTGCAACAGCCCAGCCAGTCGGTCCTCTACCCCTGGACAACAAGTGAAGAAAGTAGCGGTGGTGCGCACCCCTCCTAAATCACCTGGTTCATTGAGATCTCGCGCCCCGATTGCTCCTGTTGCACCCATGCCTGACCTGAAGAACGTCAAGTCCAAGATCGGCTCCACTGAGAACATCAAATACCAACCTGGAGGCGGGAAGGTAATTCTGTCATGCCTGATTTTCAACTGGTAAAATCAATTGTCTGAAAACAAAGCCAGCTGGTTTGGATGCATTTATTGTGAAGTTGAAAGACTTTGATACAATAAAGCTCTAGGAGACGACTTTGACCCTGTCTGATGGAAGTAGGCCAATCATTTTTTATGTGGACATTTGGATTATTTCTATCTGAACCCCATTCCTTAGGTTCAGATATTTGACAGAAAAGCCTATAATAAAGTTCACTCACGTTGGGGACTGTTAGTTACCCTTTTTAAGATTGTAAATTGGAAGTACGTCAACACAGAAAAGCAATTTTATGTCCTTTTTGACATTAAAAAAACCCTTTTTGCAGAGCCTGGGATCTGCAGCTCAATTCAAAGCATCAGATTAACACTCTTGACTCTCCTTGTCCTTTTCCAGGTGACTATTGTTCAGAAGAAGATCGACTTTTTCAATGTTCAGTCTAGATGTGGATCCAAAGACAATATCAAGCATGTTCCTGGTGGTGGTAATGTGAGTAACCGGTAGGGTTAGAACTCCTTGCTCTGAAAAATTGTATCGTTAGAAGCAGTTAACATTAGATATAGTTGTAAAATAGTGTAGAAAAAAGAGAAAAACAACCAAATATAGCATTATATTTCAGCTGTTTCTGATTAAAATAGGACCCTACACAGACATAATGTACATGAAATATCCTGTAAAAGGATTTGTGAATTGGAGCAGATACTTCAGGATATTTCCCACTTACGTCTAAGTTACACAAGATATTCTACTTGATTTGTTTTGATTTACAGTCTGGAGAAGTTCATTCTAGTCGCCGAATGTCAGAGCCAGTCTGCAGATTTGAGTTGTCAGACACCATAGAAAATTGCGTAGTGTATGATGGTCACCAACTCCGATTTTTTTAGCATCAGACTATGATTCCATCCAGTCAGAGGATATCAAACATGTTTGATATTTTCAGCTGATTTTAGAACACGTTGTTTTTATTTTTCACACGTCTCCAAGCAACAAGGTGCATGTTTCTGCGCGAGTTTGTTGTGATCGGAACAACATGAAAGTCTGGTAGTGTGTGATCCTTGTGTTTTAAAAAACTGCTCAGATTTTAAAAGTCGTGTAGTGGATTTCAGCCTTTAAACACCTCAAGCTTTGACTATGACTGCTGCATATTTCTAACAGACAGTTTTAAAAAGATAGTTCACCCAAAAATGAAAATTCTGTCATTAATTACTCATCCTCATGTTGTTCCAAACCCCTAAGACTTTAGTTCATCCTCAGAACACAATTTAAGATATTTTTAATGAAATCAGAGAGGTTTCTCTTTTCCTCCATTGACAGCCTAAGTAACTGACACTTAGAAGGCCCAGAAAGGTAGTAGAAACATCATGGAACTGGTCCATGTTACTCCAGTGGTTCAAAGCACTGTCTGTATATTCTGGTTTGAATAAGTAAGGCTGGGCAAAAAAATGCAAGTCCTCCTCAATTTCGAATTCTTCAGAGATTATTACAAATATTACAGCAGTGTTCCTCTTCCTCTGCTTGCAAACAGTGCAGCGCTTCCGGTACGGATTGTATCGTAAGAGCTGTGCTCTCGCCTCAACACAACATGCATGTGTCGTGGTGCTCTCGAGGATGGGAGAAAAAGAAGAAGAAGCTCTCGTGAACGCGCGTTGGAGATTGAAGTGAAGAAAATCGTGAAAGTGGTAGTTTTTTTTTTGTGCACAAAAAGCTTTCAGGTCGCTTCAGAAAATTACAGTTGAACCACTGGAGTAACATGGACCAGTTCCATGATGTTTTTATTCCCTTTCTGGGCCTTCCAAGTGTCAGTTGCGTAGGCTGCGTTTACACTAGTGCGTTTTTATTTGAAAACGCATAACTTTTGCTACGGTTACGCCCAGGGTTTGAAATTAACACCTGCCAACCCGCCAAATGATATCTAGCTTACTTGAACATACCCAGCGATGTAGCTACTAGCCACCGGGAGCACCGGGACATTCCCGGTGGGCCGATCGCCGCAGCGAGGGAGACCTTATATTAGGCGCTGTTTTTAAATTACAGTTGTGTGATATGACAACATTAAAGGTTCTGCCTGAAAACAGCCACGACAAGGTAAAATGCATGTAAACAAACTGCAATGTAAACAAACTTTAATAGCTTATTTCTCTTTAAATGTTTCATTCAAATTCATTTTAATTTAAGTAAAATGTTAAATCAGTAAGAGCCTGATTAAAGATAAAAATCAGTGTCTCTGTAATTTAGAGACACTTATAAATGAGGTGTTTTCCATTTACAAATATTATAAAGTTCGTAATGGGATAGTTCACCCAGAAATTAAAACTGTCATCATTTAGGCTACTCAGCATCATGTCATTCCAAACCTGTATTAATTTATTTCTTCTGTGGAACATAACAGAAGATATTTTGAGAAATTCAAAATTTGTTTGTCCATACAGTAGAAATCAAGAGTAACCAAAATGGTTTGGTAACATTCTACAAAATATCTTTTGTGTTTTACAGAAGAAAGTAAGTCATACAGGTTTGGAAAGACATGAGGGTGAGGAAAGGATGACAGCATTTATTAGCAGTAAATTTCCTATGTTCTAGCACAAAATCAATGCTTATACTGTCAAGTGCATTTCTATGTGACAAAAATGCAGTAGGCTATTAGTTTGTTGCATTTGCTGTGAATTCAGAAATATATCATTATTTGTTTTTGTCCTCATTTATTTATTTATTTACTTACTCCAATTGAAGGCCCTATAACACAGCAAAACATTCACAGGGGAACTTGAGGGCCGGATAGGCTGGATTTGTCCAGGGCCGAATTTTAACCCCAGTCCAGCCCTGTACCCGTCACTACGCAACAAATAATGGCGTGGCGGGCGCACTGGTTTCCTTTGCATTGAAGCAATAACAAAAAGTCAAAAAATGCCCGAAGACTCGCACCGTGTCTACACCAGATGCGACAAAATACTATAGAACCCATTATAATAATTGTTGCGGCCCACACTGGATGTGGCGCAGCACAGCACGACAAATCCCCGACAGTAAACTGATGCCTCGTTCTATTTATGACGTAGGCCTACTGTTTGACAAAGTACAAATGATTTGCAATGGTCACTTTGTCGCATCCAGTGTGGACAGCCTCAAGCTGTTGGCTTACCTCCGGCCTTTTTTTCATAATTTATTTGTTACATTTTTTTGGCTAGTAGAAATTATGAATGGCCGGTAACTTAAAAATTTAGTAGCCAAATTGGCTGGTGAGTGAAAAAGTTAATTTCAAACCCTGATTATAACATCATAACTATCATAGATATATGGAAGATAATCTGTGTATTCTGAAAGTAAAAATGTACAGTACAGCAACACAGTACAGCTACTGATGAAAATGACATTTTGTCACACTGGAAATTTTCATCAGTAAAATGTAATCATTCTCAGTAATGATGATGATATTGATACATCCTGTCACATGGTAACAGAAATGATTCATACCTGATTACAGATGTTGATGTCGACACCAGTCTTCAGGTAGTCGAGGACCTTCTCAAGGTTCCCTGCCCTCGCTGCCCGCAGGTAACTGGCATTGCTGTCCGGCTGCAAGTAATAAGAGAAAATACAGGAGTTGATTATTCCAATGACAAGGTCAAAGGTCAAATCCAGGACAACTTACGTCAAAACCGGATCAAATATGAACAAAGCAAACATATTTACAGCATTCAGCTCATTAAATCATTGAATTGCAAAGAAATTGAAAAAATTCATACCAACTCCATCTTTACTCAGTGCCATTTGTCTCCACAAACACACACACACATATCCAGGAAAACATCAGCTTTAGTCTACCAGTCGACATCCTACAGGGAAACTACGATCGCAATGTGACAGAGGATCAAAGTTGCACAGAACACCTAAAACATTGGCAGTCCATCTCTCAGCAGATATCCCAGCGTTCCAGCTGAAGATCCAGCCAAAAACAGCTCGTCTCTCATCAATGGATACGGAACAGAACACTAAATAACAGCTATTATTCTGACACAGGTTTCCGCCCACTTTCCCTCATGATCTTTCAGTCTCTCACTCAGAATTAGTTTTCTCTTCTCAAGCGTATATGAAAAAGAGAGCAGGATTTGGGAGAAAACAC